CCATCTGTGAGGACAAGAGGAGGAGGTGGCACCCGCCTGGGGACACGCAGCACTTACTCATCCTGCGGTGCAGCTGGCTCTGCCGTCTCGTAGATGTACCAGTCGGACACCAGGTCATCCCCAAAGCTGTCATCCAGCAGCGAGCCGTGCGCGGCCCCAGAGATGTTGGCTGCCATGAGCGCCTTCTTCTTACTGACCCAAGGGAGAGGCAGAGAGGTGGGTTTGGGGGAAGTCCTTTTGAGAATACAGGGCTGGAAGCAAGCAGCCCAGAGGCTTTATTCTGTCAGGGCACTCCCACCCATCCCCAGCTTCGCTGCTGGGATGCTGATAGAGCCTTTGTTTGGGTTGCTTCACAGTGGTTACGTGAAGGGCTGCAGAATCAGAGCAAGGGTCACGTTCAGGAGGTGTGGGTGAAGCGGGAAAGAAATGGGTGAGTGGCTCATGTCCCCTGTGTCCCTTTGCTACCAGGTGCTTGGAGCCCCAGCACCTGCCCCTGGCCAAAGCAAGCTCATCCCACAGCAGTAAGGGGTGGCTCGTCCTGGTGCCAAACACAAGGTTTTATTCCTGCTTCCCTCCGTTGTTTTCCCTTTTGCACAGCACTGATGACTTTGGCCCAACAGCCCCACGTCCTCTCTCACTGTCCTGCAGCTCTGACTCAGCTCATGGCCATCATGAATAGTCTTCTCTGTGCCCCCAGGACAACGAGCCCATAGTGGGGCAGGAAAGCACCCAAAGAGATGAAAGACACCCATCAGCAGATCTGAAGGAAGCCTGGCCTTCCCCAGGGGTTTCACCCCTAGTGAAGTATCCAACACTGTTCCCATGTGTCAGCCCAGGGCTCAGGGATGTCAGCAAACCGACCACGAAGCTGAGAGCTGCTCCACGGGGACTCCTGACACACTGCTCATTGGCTCCAAAGGTGTGGGTTGATATTCCCTTAGTGCTTCCCCTCCACTCTGGGTGAGGGTCCCACTCCCCACGGGGGTCTTGGGTTGCCAGAGCCCACCCCAGAGTATCGACTCCCCCGCCATCCCTTGGTTTTGCCTGCATGGGCAAGCGGCTCTGACCTCATCACCCAGGAATGTAGCACTCCTAAAAGAGGTAGAAGGAGCCCATAAAGCACACAAACATCTCACAAGACCCAGGAGACTCTTTCCTCTCCTGGAGGATCCCTTCCTGCAGAGTGAAGGTGCCCATGCCCTTCTCTCCACCCCACTGAGCCACCTCTGAGCTCATCCTCCCACCAGCAGGGTGACAGCAGCTATGACAGCAGCTCAGCCACCTTCGGTGACAAAAGGGTGCCAAGAGGAAGCAGCCTCAGAGGCGCTGCCACCATGGGATGGGCAAAGCTAAGCATGCCAAAATCCCACCCCGACAGCTCTCTTCTACCCGAAACCTGATCCCTTTGCTCCTCCACCTAACCCCTGCCCAAACAGGCTGGGCCTTTGATCGCTGCAGCATCGCAGGGATTGATGGCTTCAATAAAGCCCCTTCATATTCTTCATTTCCCACCATCCATCACTCTCCGGGGAGCTTTTGCATCCCACCGCTATGAATTAAACAGGGGGGGGGGGTGAAGCCGTAAGGGAATTCCCCCCCCCCCCCCCCCAGCCCCCTTCCCTCCTCCTATCGGGGATAATGGCGATGCCTTGTGTACGGCTTTTAATAAAAATGATAAAGATCTCATTTCACAATTGTTCAGGGAGCGCTTGGGCCGGGGGGGAGTTGTTTAAGCGAGATCTCCTCTAAATCAATTGCTGAGTGAGAGCGACTGTGGAGGAGCTGCGTGTCCCCGTGGGGAGGTGGGTCCCGAGGACACCCAACGGGGACATCTGAGGAAGATGCTGGGTCCTACGGGGGGATTTAGCAGCTGCCAGAGCTGCTTGAAGACTTTAATCCTCTTTCTGGAATAGGGCGGCTTTTCCTCATCGCTTGTTTTCTATGAGTTTCCCAACTTGTGGAAACGGAGGGGTATGATGGATTGAAGGCTGGAGCCTGCGGGAAGCCCCCACTCAGCTCCCATGTCCGAGAAGTATGGGGTTGAGTCAGCCCTCTTTGAGGTCACTGAGGACACCCTGACACACATCCTCATCCTCCCTGGAAAGCCCCCATGGGGCAGAGAGAGGGCAGGGGGCTGCGCCAGCAGTGAGGCACAGATGGGGGTCTGCAGAGATGGTTTTCCATCCTAACACTCGGCACAAAGCCAGCCGCATGTAACAGGTCCCAAAATCCAACAGGTCCCAAATCCACTTCTGCTGACCCCTGCCACCCCAGTGGGACTCCCCAGCTCTGTGCACCCCTTTTATCCACGGGCTGACCCACCTTGGAGATCACCAGCATGCCCAACAACGACCCAAATTTTAGAAGCAAAGGCAGTTCAGCACAGAAGCAGGTCGGCCTTTTGGGGGTTATTTTTAAGCTCCTGCCCTTTTTTACTTTGAAACCCTGCAGGCATGGCAGCACCTGCTGCGCTCAGCTCCTGCAGGGAGCAGCGGAGAGGAAAAGCTTTTGGGTTTGCAGCAAAGCACTCTGCAGCAGCACCTTGGGGGGAGGGGGGAAAGGGGAATCAGGGCAAAGCCCCCAAAGCCCTGCTGATGTGTGCGAAATCTTGGCTTTAAGGCCACCAAAAGGGTTTGGCAAACACTCACACATGAGTGCTCAGCTCGGACGGATTCACCCCCCACTTCAAACACCCAAACTTTACCAAAACAACAAAAGGGGAGCCGCCAAAGTTACCTGCTCCCGACCTGTGGCTCGGCTGGTGGACGGGCAAAGCTGTGCAGGGCTCAGAGCATCAGCACGGCGCAGCGGCAGCCATACGATCCCGCAGACAAAGTTCAGCGCACCGGCGAGGCGGCGGCAGCGTCGGGAACTTTATCCCCTCCATGGCGAGGAGGCCTTGGCTCGGGGCCACCCTGGGGTTTAGGAAATGAAAAGCAACCAACCCCGTGCCGCGCTCTCCCCTTTGATTACCCGGGGAGGGGAGGCAGCAGAACCAACCTCCTTCATCCCCCAGCCTCCTTCATCCCCCCCGCCCCTGTGCTGGTGGCTTGGGGGGGGGGGGGGGCAATGAGAGCACAATGGGCCCCCGTGCCGTGCCAGCCCACCCAAGATGCTGCAGACATCCCTGTTTTCTGCAGGCATCCTCCTGGAGGCTGCCCAAGGGCTGGACGCTGTGCAATCCTGCTTTGTGTTGGGGCTGGAAATGGGTAGGATAAGGCAGTCTGGGTTTGGGGTAAGGGTTGGGATGGATGGCCCCAGGTGCCACCAGCACGAGGTGACAGTCCCAGAGCTCCCACCGGAACGTTTGTTGCATTCCAGCACAGCATTGAGGGGTTCCTGAACACCTCACTTTGGAGAAGAGTGGGATTTGGGTCATCCCTTTCTTTCCTCCTCATCCAACCTGTGCTCCCCACCTTCCCCAGGAGCCACCAAGCTCACGGCACAGCAACTCACAGCACCCCAATAACCCCGGCACGTGACAAGGGAGCAAAGGGAAAATTAATCAGCGTGGAGGATTCTGCTTAATTTTTAGCCAAAGCCTCGTGGCCAGGCTCAAAGAGCCAAGAGTCCCCCCCTACACACCCTCAGGGTTGTTATGAGGAGTACCACGGGGGCTTGCCATGTCCCATGCACCTGTTCACTGTCCCTCCCCCACCGCGTGCTGCTGTGGGATGATGGAAGCTGCACGTGCGCCTCTGGTGCAGCTGGGAAATGCTGCCTGAGTAAACTGTGCCTTGGGTGAAATTACGGGAAAATTGCTCTTTGATGGTGCTGCCATCATTAGAGGTGCCTCGGTAATGTGTTTGCACAAGGCAGGGAGGAAATTAGGCAGGCTGATTAGGGCAACAGGCAGAGATGTCTCATTTCCATGCCTTGTTGCTGCATTAAACCCTAGCCAGCGCCTGTGACCCCCAAATCCTGCCCCATTCCCCCTCCCTTCCCCAGGATGCGCACTGCAACGTGTGCAGTGGGGTTGTATTGGGTGTCAGCATGACAAGCCCAAACCCCAATATCTATTTTTTTTTCCCCTAAATGAAGAGGAAAAAAGTAAATAATAAACAAAGGCACTTCCGAAGGGGTTCATGGAGGCAACCATTTGGGGTTGGCACCCCACAGGTGCCTGCTTTCCCATCAAATAAGCAAAACCTCCAGCCCCAGGGTCCCATGTACTGCTGAATCCCCTGCCTGCTCCCCAGAAGGATAACTGTGTTGTTTCAAGCTTGAAGAGCTGGAATGCAGTTTTTTTGTATGGATGGACGGGCTGTCTAGGAGAAGGGCCATCTGCTGGCATGGCCCCGGCTCATGTTTCACTGGAAGCATCCCGAAGGCTGTGGGAACACACTATTTTCAACAGGGATCGGGGAATGTGATGTGACAGGGCTGGGGGCTCAGAGGGGCTGATCCAGCTCCCTGCCCACCACCCTGTAAGCTCGATCCCAAAATACCCCCAGTGGGCTGAGCACTTGTGTATGGGAAGAGCAGCCCTTGTGATGCTGAGCAGAAGGAGAGCAGCTTAGAGGGAAAGCATCTCCCCCAAATGCTCCCATCCTGTACCTGCAGAGAGCTTTCAGCCTTAAAATGCAGTCCAGACGCAAGTCTGGGCACCTCTCGTGCCTTGTTCTCACCCCATTCCCTTCCCTTGGATCACACAACCCAATGGGGAGTCACTTCCACGCACAGCCCCACTTACCTTGGGTTTGAGCCAAGAGGCAGCCACACATTTGGCACCCGAATCTCATTGCTGTGGGGCCCAAGAATCAGGAGGAGCAGGATTGTCTCACAGGATCTGGTGGGTTCCCATTCATCTCTCCTAGGGTTTGCAGGGCAAAGGGCTGGAGGAGCACTCCATACCAGCACACCCAGCTCTGCTGTACAGCCAGCATCACCCTGGATATCCTGGGCTGTTTGCTGGAAGGCAGCCACCGCTTGGCAGTTACCTGGTTGCCTTACAAACAAACCAGAGCTCAGAGCCTCCGTCCTTGCACAGAGAGGGAAAGGAAAGCCCTCAGCATCTCTCCACAGCACCAAGGGCAAGGATTCTTCTTTCACTGCTTCGCCTTTGAAAGCTGCCTGCCAAGATGTGAAGCCTACACATACCCAGGGGCACCCCCAGGCGTTTTTCTGCTGGAAAAAGGTGGGAGTGCCAGCAGAGCCTATTCTGCTCTGACACAAGCCCCGGGGCTCGCTGCAGGGCTCTGGGAGCTCCCTGCCATCAGGATCTCCATCTCCATGGCTGGGGAGTCCCGCATTCCTGCCAGCCTGCAGCGCTGGCGGCTCCGAGCTGAGGACAAGGTGCTGGATTTTGAGTTTGAGGTGCTGAGCGCCCAGTTCAACCGGCGTGGTCGCTATGCCCTGCGGCTCTCCGTGGAGAACCCACTGCTGAGGGACAGTGGGGACGGTGTCCGACTGCGCATTGGGGATGGGGACAGCGTGCCCACCAGGACCGGCACCACCGACACCGTGCTGCAGGGTCACCTGGGGGAGATCTGTGCCTTCCAGAGGAAGAAGTTCACCTTCACCCTGCCCAGAGGTGAGATGCTGGATGCCATGGGGATGGGCTTATATAGCAGGAGACCCTACAGTGTCCACTGCTTCAGGGATGGGCTCATGGCAAAGAGGGACCCCAGGCTTGGAAACCTACCCCTTAGCACGCCCATAGCTTTGCTCCTGCAGCAAACTGTTAAGCCTCAGTTGGTCTCCAAAGCACCTGAGCAGGCTACGGCACTGGTGGCATGGAAGGGACACCAAGGCTTGACCCAGCATTCCCATCAGGTTACTGCAAGAACGACAAGAACCACGATGTGCGGCTCCACATCGAAGCCTTGCACTGCCCTGGGACCCTACTGAGGAGGAAGAGGGTGGGTGAAGCCTTCTTTGCCATCTATCCCCGTCCTGACCAGCCACGGCTGAAGCTCCTGGCAGGGCGAGATGAGGACTGGTATCGCTACAGCGCAGTGCTGGCCCTGCTGCGGGCAGGCAGTGAGCAGCCAGCCATGCACTGCGGCCGCCTGGCCTTCATTGCTGCCCTGCATGAACACCGGCCACCTGCCCTGGTGTCTCCAACACCATCACCCCATGCCCAGGAGAGGGAACACCGAGCAGCAAGCACAGCCCCATCACCTGCATCCCCAGCTGGGCCATCTCCCAGTGTCCCCTTGCACTCACCTGAGTCTGCCTACCACTCACTGCTCACTGAGGTAGGGAGCAAGAGGGAATACTGGGGTTGGGGTGGGTCCTATGGAGGTGGGAACTCAGCCCCAGGTTGAAACTTGACGGATCTCTGAGGTTCCTTCCAACCCAAGCCATTCTATGATTCCCCAGCTCAGCTCACTTCACCCTATTTCTCTCCCAAGCACAGGACCTGCAGCAGGGCTATGATCCCCTTATCCCAGCCCAAATCTCCTCACTCCCCCGGACAGCCCCTGATGCACCACCCTATGGAAGCAGAAACCCTCCATCCCCACCCCTCCCTGCCCTGCCCTGCCCTGCCCTGGCAGGCTGGGAGCACCTGGTTCCCATCAGCTGCAGCTGGAGCTCTGGGAGAGCTTGGTAATAAGAGGAATTTATTGCATAATGGTTATTATTATTATTATTATTATTATAAGGTTTGGTCTATGAGGAGGTGTGGGAGTAGAGGAAAATGATTAAATCTGAAAGAATGGGTTCTAGAGTGAGTTGGTGTTGGGGTTGCCCCTACAAGCCTCTCCTCACCCATAGGTGCCACAGACTGACCCTGTGCTCAGCTCCTCCCTGGATGTGCGGGGTGATCCCATGTGTGAGCAGCCTTTCTCTTCCTCCTCCTCTTCTTTGGGGCCTCCACTGAGCTTCCACCTCTCCTCACCAGAATCCAGCCTGGACCCAAGCCCGTGGGTAGTACAGGTTAGTGCAGGGCATGGAGGAGATGCCATGGAGGAGACCTTGGATTGGGATGCTGGGGAAATGGGAAAACAGGGCACCAAACTTTGGGATTTTAGCCCCAGAACTCAGCTCTGTGGTTGGAGGAGCATGGACATGGTGTCAGTGAATAAAACACTGACCACTGGCATGTGGGCTTGTAAATCTTGAACTCTTCATCTCCCAGCTCAGATGGAGACTTCTGGAAACTGTCAGCATTAGCAAAGCAGCAGGCTGCACTTCTATGGGGTGCTGCTAAAAGCTGTGCAAACAAAGGGAAGTGGATGGGCCCTGCCCAAAGGGCATCCTGCTGGGAGCACATCTCTGCTGGGAGCAGTTTACACCTGTGAAAACATCTCTCGTGGAAGCTGAGATGCAGATGGGGCCAAGTCTTGTGCTCTGGGGTCCTCCCAGTACTCCGCTTGCATCCCAAAGGCTGTCCCAAAGGCTGTTTTCCATGGTGGTCCCAAAGGCAGTCCCATCACTGCCCCATGGCAGCCCCGAAGGCAGTCCCAAAGGCTGTCCCATGGCAGTCCCAAAGGCAGTCCCAATGTCAGTCCTCATGGCTGTCCCAAAATCCCAACACCTTGCACTCCCATCCCAATTAGTGAAATATTTACTGGGCAGAACCCGTGATTAGTGAGGCTTGATTGAGTTTGCTCAGCACATGTCTAGTCAGAAAAGGCGATGGCGATCGATAGGGATGGGAGCGGGATGGGGGCTTGAGGAAGCACCGATGCAATCCCCCCTCAGTGCGGGGCCCCTGGGGGGAATGCAGCACTCAGCAACGATCAATCACCTGCTGCTGATGTCAGCATGTAGGCATTTGCCAAGATGGGTTTTATTTAAAAATTAGAAGCTGAGAAGCGGGGGAGGGCTGACTGCTGGGAGGGGATGAGGTGATGCCGGAGCCCTTTGCTTGTTGTGGGGTGAGGGGGGACAGTGGCCTTGCATGGTGCCTCAGTTTCCCCTTGAGATCATCCTTATGGCAGGGCTGAGTGTTTTGGCTGAGCAGAAGGGAGCTGGGGGGGGGGGATGTGGAAAGGAGAGTGCATTGTTGGTGTCCTCGTCACGCAGAGAAGCTGATGTATGGGCGCTGAGCTCCTCCCAAAAGGCCAAGGCACGGCGATAACAATTTTCTCATCTCCCCTCAACCTGTGGCTAATGTATTCCTCGGCACGAAGTGAGAGGCTCTGCTGCCTGCTCAGGCACCTCGAGCACGTTGCAGGGCCAGACGGTCCCTAATTGTCCCAGGGTTTGGGCACGGCACCTCGCAGCTCGCTGCACGCTCCCAGTCTGGCCATTTCCAGCCACCCTCACAGCATGTGCTCAAGGCCATGGGCAAGTTGTCGGGCTGGGTGAGTACAAATCCCACAGCATCACCCCCAGGGATTCCTCCTCCCAGCCAGGCGTGGGGAGATGCCAGCTTTTGGAGCTCTCCTTGGCAGACAGAGCTGTTTGCCAGCCCATGAAGGTGTGTTGCCAGGCCAGCTGGCAGCCAGGCACCCATCCTGCCACAGCAATCTGTTGCTCTCAGGGCACGGGGATCACAGCCTTCCCTCCCCATGCATATGGCCACTGGGAGCTGCTTTAGGGGCTGCAGTTGGGTCATTTTTGCCCACCTATGGCAAGGTTCCTGGGATGTGGATGTGCGCGCCACGTGCCCCATCTCACTGAGCGATGGATGAAAGCTTTCCTCCCCGATAAAAGCTTCTGCCTTCCCCTCACCAGGGCTGAGCTCTCTGTTAGTGGGTGATGGATGGCACGTGTCTCCCGTCTGTGCCCCGGCCACCTCGTGTCACTCATCGTGGTGACAGCCAGGGTCATCCCACCTCCGGGCTGAAGAGAAGGGCCGCGAGCTGCTCCATTCACTGGAAACCCAATGAGGCTGAAAAAACAAACTTTGCCGGCAGGGCGATGAATGACGCCGCTCCGGCGAGCAATTTGTTGGCCTTTGAAAGGCTGTCAGGATGATGGGTTCATCGGGGACTTCACAGGCATCCTCCGGAGGCTCTGCGTCCCACACCTAGCATCGTGTGTCCAGCATCCCACAGCCAGCATTCCGTATCCCACACACAACATCCCATGCTCAGCATCCCTTGTTGAGCATCCCATGCCCTGCGTCCTGCTCCTTTGAGAGGCACCAGAAGGGAGCTTAAGGTTGAGATGACCACGATGCCGACGCCAAGCCACCCTCCCTGCATTGCCTTTGTCCTCTGACAATTGATTTTTCCCCAGTAATAAGCAATCTCCCTAAACTCTGGGCATTGCAAGGCTTTGGGTCTCCCACCCCGGGGAGCTTTTGAAGCACGGAAGGGGGGAGATTTTCTGTTTCCTAGATGGTATGGAAATCATACATTAGGATGCTGGAGCTGCTGGGGGGAATTTCTTGGTCCCAATACCTTGTTTGCATTTATAGAGATTGAGATGAGGTCAGGAATCTGGTACGAGCAGAGCAGCAATGTGTGCTTTCTCAGCTCAAATGGAGCAAAGACCTCAAGGCAGGGGCTTAGTGGGGATAAAGGGTATGTGATTCGCTCATGTCCAAGCAGGAGCCCTTTGGGAAGCGCCTCGCGTCGATGTGCGGAGCGAGCGGTGTCTGCCAGCACTAATTCCTGCAATTTCAGTCCTCGTGTCCCTTTAAGTGTCAAAACGTCTGCCTTTCTGAGAAAAGCAAATGGGGTTAAAGAGAAAAAAATTGCTCTGCTTTAAGAGGAAGGGGGGAAGGAAATCACGCGCGTGGCGCTGACAAATACAGAGAGTGTAAAGCTCCCCTAATGGAGCGGGAGGGAGGCTGGGCTGCCAGCACGCTCATTATGTGCCAGGTGAATTGGGAGTTGTGCTGCAGGAATGGAACCAAATGGCTTCAGCAAACGTTGGCCCATAGGGATCCCCCCGCCCGGGGCAGGGATTGTCCTGGAAAAGGATGTGATGGGAGGGGGGGCCCCAAACCACCCTGTGATCTCTAATGAGCACCTCAGGGTCCCCTCAAGGCGACACTGTGGATGCAGAATGGCAGTGGATAATGAAGGAAGCGATGCTGCCGGGGTCTGTGGGGCCAGGGATGCCCTCTGCATGTGGAAGGAGGATGCTGTTCCATCTCCCCCCCAGGAGTAATTGGGTTTGGCCGCTTCCCCAAGCTCATTCCGGAGCTGCATTGCCTTCCTCACTCCACTCATCAGAGACAGGCCGGGGCCTGTGCCATGCAACTCGGCATTAATAGAGCCTAAATGAGATTTTGCAGCCCCAAATGTGATTAGCTGCCTGCTGCGGTGCAGGAAGCGGGGAAGGGCCGGGGATGGGTGGCACCAGGGTCAAGGTTGCGTGATCCCTCCCAGATCCGCTCCTCCTGTCCCTCCGTGCTGCAGGGGGCAGGGGATGAGTGACATAGGCTGCAGAACATCAGCTTTTGAGGGGTTGGGACCCCCACAGCTCCATGCAGTGCCTGGCCCCACTTACACCATGCTGCAACTCCATTGCCATAACCACAGCACTCAGTTAAAGCCCAACGCTTTATGCCTCGCAGCGTGCTGAAAGGAGCCTGGGGAGCCATCGGGGAGGAGAGCTCACACCAGCCCCAGTCCATCTTCCCACTGTTGTTTTATGGGGTCTCCAGGGGCGGATAAAGCTGTGCCATCCAATAGCTTCTCATAAATCACCTCTGATGCTGCAGGGGAGCCCCAGTCAAACTGAATGCAGGACCCCATTCTGCGTCATACCACTGGCACACCTCCCCACTTTGCAGCATGCCATGTATGCACCAACCCCTCCATCCCCTCCCCAAGCCACTCTGGGCCATGGGTCCATGGGTTCAGTGATGCTCCAGCTCCAAAGCTCCAGGCTGCAAACTCCATCAGCCAGATGTCCAAGGAGCATCCTGACTGCTGAACCCTTCCAGCTGGGTGTTGTAGGGTGGCTCATTGTGGCACTGAGAAGGACTGGGGGTATGGGCTGGCAGTGTGCTGTTTGCAGAGCCCAGCGTGGCTCACACCTGCTATTTTTAAATGGTTTTGTCACTGTGCTGAGCTTTCCTTAGCTGTACCATTTGTGAATTTTCTATTAAAATCAACTGCTAATTATCACCCCGCAACCGTTGCTAGAGGTACGATACAATAGATTTTCCAGGAGACGTACGTACAG